AGTGGGTTCAGCTTCTTTAAATAAAATGAGATGACTTGCAGAACTTACCTGCATCGACGGAATCCACCTGCTTTTCGATTGTCACGTATGCGGTTCCCGCAATCGCCCCATCTTTGCAAAATTTTAGTATAGATGTGCCTGGCTAATAATGGATTGTAAGCAAGAACTGGTCATTCCGATCTCCCTTGCATTTGCAGGTTATATTTTTCTGCCTTTATTACTAACGGTTGCTGGCGAGGCACAGAAGTCTTCCCGAAGGCGCAAGGGGAGGATTCATAATTGATCAATGACCACCTACGGTTATGAAAACATATTTTATTTTAACCTCAGCCGACTACGTGTGCACTTTCAAAACCGAATAGATGGTTATTTTCTAGACCATGCATAACTACATGCGGTGGTACGTATTTTCGCTTTAAGGCTAGAGCGTGCTCATGCAGTACGCGATCTCAGTCGTCCGTCTGTCATATCACAGTATGTGACCAGATGGTATAAAATATGACGCGGTGAACATCTCCCGACTTGTACTCAGACCGTAGCCACCCCTTCAGCTGCATTAGTGAGGTCGAGAGAGTGGACTCTGACCAGTGACCAAGGTCCACATTGAGGGGTCTGAGCATGCGATTCGCGGCCTCGAATACACCTTTCACCCAGGGCAGGACTTGAGGATGTCGGGTCCTTACTTATGGACCCTGTTGCTATTCGTGTGCCTTGGATACAAGCGTGTGTTGGTTAAGTTTCGCGGATACCCATTGGAGATTAAGAGTTACCAGAGGCACTTACGCTCTCACATTTTCTCCGCTTCTGTGCTGCAACGATTCGTGATGTGCAGAAAGAGCATCCGTACACAACTGCGTTTTTATAACAGGGGTGGTTGCTGAGGTAATGGAGGATTTTTGACGTCTGTTTCGTTCTTTGAAAGACATAGCTCTGTAGGGTTCCTCCTACCTGCCCCGATATCTGAACATCAATGAAAGGAATTCCACCGTCCTTTTCTTCCTCCACTGCAAATTTTATTTCCGGGAAAATTGAGTCTAATATCCTTTGAAAGGCATCTTTCATATCTCGACGCATGATAACAAAGGTTTCATCCACGTAGCGCATCCAAAATTTGGCCTCAAATACCAGAAGCCCCCTAGTCCCTGGTTCCTGTGGAACCGCCTCAGCGACATAGCCGAAGATCGGTAAGTCTATCGAAGTTACCTGGTTTCCCTCGTAGACCGCACTGTTAGACGTGATGTACGTTGTTAAGCAGTTGTCTGGTAGATACATTGCGTGTTTTCTTTTGAACTGTTTGTAGTCATCGTCGTATATCCTCTCCAGTAGGCATTTAATGATTCTCATTGCTATTTTTTTAGAAACAGTGGTGAGAAGACAGTCGACCTCAAAGCATAACATTATTTCATCTGGAGATAGTGCGATTTCCCTGAGGATTTCCAGGAAGTGCGCTCAGGAAACGGGTGGTGTTCTGAGCCCTCCGTTAGATTCTTCCAACGTTTAGTGAGCCCTCTAGCCAGCCCTATTTTAGTGAGACGATTGGTCGCAATGAATCGTTTGGTTTGTGGATTTTTTGGTAACCCATAGAAGCAGACCATGGCCGAATACCGCGGTTTTATCTGTCGCCAATCGGTGACGGTTCCTCATGCGAGTTGGTCCTTTATTGATTTTCCCCGTGGAGCCCGAATAAACTACAATGTATGGCTGGCTATCGTTTAGTAGATCACGTACTCTTGCTTCGTAATTAGACTTCTCCAACGTCTCAGTTGCACGTCCTTTGTCCGCTGGTACAATTACAATTTCATCGCCCTTCTTTGATTCCTTTATGGCCCTGCTTTCCTGTTTTGGCCAAACCGCGATCGAAACACATATTTTTCGTGGTTTGAAATATCAGACGTAGGATCAGCAACTTATGCCTGGGCTGCATATCGATAGGAAGGACCAGGAGGACGTAATATTGCTTGTGACTCCAAGATGGCGGCGTGAAGTTCGGCAAAAATTTAGACTGTGCATGCCTTAGTTTCAGCTTTCCGTCATCCAAAATGATGGCGTTTCTCATGATAAATGGACAGTATACAATTCATGATAAATTTCCGCCATAAATGCCGTCGAACAATTTTACCCACTAAAATCCCAGTGGGACCCCAGGGTCCACTGAATACTGTTTCAGGATACTGTTGAACCTTATTCAGCGACTTCTGTCAGCTTTTCTTATTAGGTTGCTCTGGATTTATATTTTCTTCTATAGTCCGCTCTTCGCCGTTTTTAGACGAGGTGGAACATCCGTGTGACTAGCTCATTTGAACAGTTACTGGAGTCCGTAACGGTTCTACAGCTCACCCATTTCAGGCGCTTGACGCCACAGACGTGATCTGGCAGGGACAATCTTGGTCGCCCAG